ATTGATACTGCACGCTGAACAGAGCGGGAAACTTCAGACGTGAATTTAAATGCAGCCGACAGAAAATCCTGCCGCGCCATTCACATGGTTTTCCATTAAATTACATTATATTTGTCGTTGTTAATGTACATAATGAATTGTGTATTGTGCATTTTCAGCGAAACGTTTGTCTTTCTGTGGCTCTAGTAAAGTTTGTATGCTTCATTTATAGAGCTATAATATAGACCTCGCTTTCTCTTTCCATTTGCTCCGTTTTTTAAACACCGAACTTCAAACTCATCTATGCCTCATTGTTCATTCTTGAAGTAAACTTGTGTCTGTTTGGTGATTAAATAAACTGTTTTAGACCGCTGCTCGAGTTGAACGTGACCCGTCCGGAGTGTGTGTGATACCGGTGAGTTCTCCTAGACTCAGCGCTGCGCTTTTATTTTGATTAGATAATCATCAAGTGTTCAAGAATAGAAGCAGTTAAAGTGTGAGAATATACATACAATATCCATATGTATATACTTTTAATGCTATGGCCTTTGTGTATATATTTAAAGATGTGCATCTTTAAGCATGACTGTTGAAATTAAATGGTAACACTTTAAAATAAGAGTCCATTTGTAACATTAAGATTAATGAAAGCTGTTTAAATATTGTTCCTTGTTAGAGTGTGTTAATTTCAACATTTACTATTACTATTATTATTATTAGCGACAACCAATGGGAGTGCAGATGGGAGTTCACAAAGCTCTAAGTCATTGACTTTGCTTAGAAGACAACAAATCATAACAGAGCCCTTATGAAGTTCAGTATGAATTTTGTCTAGTATGTACAGTATTTACTGGTGATTTTTCAAAAAATTTAAATACTGATATAAAATTAATCATATACTAAAAGTACACTATACTAAAATCTTATTTCCGCCATGGAATAAAAAAAATAACTAAATAAAAACAGTAATTGCATCTTTTTATCTAACAATTTTGAGTTTATCTCTGACAATCCTGACTTTTTTCCGTGCAGTTGTGAGATATAAACTCAGAATTTTGCAATATAAATTAAGAATTGCAAGATATAAACTTAAAATTGCTTAAAAAAAAAAGTCAAAATTGAATCGTGAGAGGTTATCTCAAAGTTCTAAGACAAGCTTGTTTTTTTTTAGTTTATCTCTGACTATTTTTTTACTTGCAATTGTGAGATGTAAATTCAGAAATGCATGCTATAAATTCAGAATTGCGAGATATAAACCCAAAGTTCTAAGAAAACAAGCGTGTTCTTTTTTTTTTTTTTGCCAAGGATTGTTTATATCGAGTTATTGACTCGCAAATAGGACTTTTTTTTTCAGAATTGCAAGATAAAGTCACAATTACCTTTTAAAGTCTTTTATTCCATTGCAGAAATAAGTTTCCATAAAAGCAGCTTTTTCCATACTAAAAAAAAATAAATAAATAAATTTGATTATTAATTAATTATGTTCATATACATCACACAGAAACCTCTGGACAACATTCATCAGTCAATTCTGCAGAAAAAAATTAAGAATTAAATACAAATATATCTATCTACAAATAATTGTCCTGTTATGAGACCAGTAACCTAGCATCAACCTGCTCATGGAAGCTTGCTCGTTGCTTTGCACATGCAATGTCAGCTGTATAATTACTTAGTGAATTAAAGGCAGATACAAACAAGTGCCATTTTAAATCGCAATATTAACCAAAACAGAAATAGTGAGGCTCTGAGCAGATCTGAACCTGCAATTGAGATTAAACAACTAGAGGTCGACCGATGTATCGGTTTTGCCGATTAATCGGCACCGATAGTTGATTTCTGGAACTATCGGTTATCGGCAAAAATCCATGCCGATAGTTTTCCGGCTTGCGTCCATTGCTGGAGCGGCTGAGAAGGGTCTGCTGTCATTATACAGAGCGAGAGCGCCCTCTAGTGGTTGAAATCATTGACAGCACATGCTATTGATACTGCACGCTGAACAGAGCGGGAAACTTCAGACGTGAATTTAAATGCAGCCGACAGAAAATCCTGCCGCGCCATTCACATGGTTTTCCATTAAATTACATTATATTTGTCGTTGTTAATGTACATAATGAATTGTGTATTGTGCATTTTCAGCGAAACGTTTGTCTTTCTGTGGCTCTAGTAAAGTTTGTATGCTTCATTTATAGAGCTATAATATAGACCTCGCTTTCTCTTTCCATTTGCTCCGTTTTTTAAACACCGAACTTCAAACTCATCTATGCCTCATTGTTCATTCTTTCTTGAAGTAAACTTGTGTCCGTTTGGTGATTAAATAAACTGTTTCAATATCCATATGTATATACTTTTAATGCTATGGCCTTTGTGTATATATTTAAAGATGTGCATCTTTAAGCATGACTGTTGAAATTAAATGGTAACACTTTAAAATAAGAGTCCATTTGTAACATTAAGATTAATGAAAGCTGTTTAAATATTGTTCCTTGTTAGAGTGTGTTAATTTCAACATTTACTATTACTATTATTATTATTACTACTACTACTACTAGTATGGTTCAGTACTGTTTTTTTTTAATAAAGCACTATTTTAGTTTTTGTTCAGTATCCATTTTAAAAACTATCGGTTAATTAATCGGTATCGTCCAGTGTGGTCCAACCTAGCTATCGTTATCGGCAAAATCCACTATCGGTCGACATCTAGAAACAACCAAATCTAATCTTGAACCACAGTCAGTCAACAGTTTAAAAATAACAGTGTCTCTACTGTTCTGCAAATCATAACCGTCAGATTAAACATCTGTCATCATGGCTATTGAAAATAAGCAGACTTGCTTGAAGGAAAATATGTCAACTGAACTAAAACATGATAAGACATGCTATCAAACAAAGATGTATAAAAATGACCCCGATACACTATCAGTACTGCATCATGAAGATAAAACACATTCTTATGAAATAACCGATTTTTACATTTGAATGAACTCCTAATAATTTATGGAAAAAATAAAGGTGATACCAGAACATTTTTTAACCAAAAGTGTCCAATAATAAGAGGCTACCAAGATAAAGTGAGTATTCAGAAGTAAAGTGAGATCAATATGGTTGCCACTATGAAGGGGATCCAACTTTTGCAGAATAAAACAGCTTGCAATTAATCACCGATATGAATAGAGTCTTCATTTCATGTGAGATAATATCCCTTTAAACATATTTGTCAAAATTAGGGCTGCACGATTATGACAAAAATCACAATTGTCAATTATTCCCTTGAAATTGTAATTGCAATTATTAATTGCAATTATCACAATTTACATTGAATGATGTTTATACCATATTTTTATATGAAAATAAACAAGCTGAAAACACTCTAACTGAAAACCTTTTAGTGCTTTTCTATAGTATTAAGCCTCAAATGTCAACTATACATCAGATTGTTTTTTTCTTTAAAGGGGTCCTATTATGCTTTTTCACTTTTTTAATTTTAGTCAGTGTGTAGTGTGTATGTTTGGGCATGAGACTTTGTAAAAGAGCATAATAGGACCCCTTTAAATTATAACAAAGTAAAAATATGAATGGAATTATAATGTTATACTAAAACTAATATAATGGGAAAAACCCTTAAGATAACATGTAGAAAGAAAAAACCGCATCTTAAGCATGCAGAATAACATAAGTGGACTTTGAAAGATTAATTGCCGCTTTGAACGATTACGTAATTGTGGCATCCCTAATTAATTGTTCAGCCCTAGTCAAAAGTACTATTTATGTCTTTAAATGTGACCCTGGAGCACAAAAGCAGTCTTAAGTCGCTGGGGTAATCCTAACAAACCATACATCAATGGAAAGCTTATTCATTCAGCTTTCATATGATGTATAAATCTCAATTTTGAAAAATTGACACTTAAGACTGGTTTTGTGGTCCAGGGTCACATATGTAAAACATTACATAACATTCATTCCAGCACATTTAAAGGGATAGTTCACCCAAAAATGAAAATCCTGTCATCATTGACCTGTACGAATTTCTTCTAAAAATATATTTTGAAGATATTTCTTGTTTTTGTCCATACAATGAAAGTCAATGGGGTCCAGTGTTGTTTTGGACCCCACTGACTTTCATTGTAAGGCCAAAAAGACATTTTTCAAAATACTTTCTTCTGTGTTCCACAGAAAAATGAAATACAGGTTTGAAACCACATGATGCATTTTATTTTTTTACTACCCTTCCAAGCATTTCATACACTCAAACTTTAAGGTAAGATGTAACTCAAAGTGGAGTTTACACTGAAAAAAAAGTAGCTCTCATGCAGTCAAGTTAATGTAAAACTAACCTCCTGATAGATATCCATCCAACCATTCGTCAATACCTGAGACAATCTTAAAAACTAACTAGATGTCAAAAAGTAAATGTCTTAATGGATAATTCTGTAACATATCGGTGACAAATATTGAAGTCTTCTGATCGATTCTTGACCTAAAATAAGCCGACAGGTCAGGGTGTAGCTTCTCATGTGGCAGGATGTCATGAAGGAAACCACACGAGTAGAACAAGGTGCCATGTTCTGTTTAAAGTTATAGACAATGTCAGACAATATCCTGTATTGAATGCTACAGAATGACTGAGCCACTTCCAATACAGTTCAATACAGTCAGTGAGCTGATTCTACTATATTTCAAAGCTTGTTCACTTTTAAGAAAAACAACTTAAATTTCTTAAATGTGGCATAAAACTTAAAACTGTGAACTCTCACACACTCTTAAAAATAAAGGTTCCAAAACGGTGTTTTTGCAGTGATGCCATAGAACCATATTTGGTTCCCAAAAGAACCTTTCAGTAAACAGTTCCTAAAAGAACCATTTTGAAGAACATTTTAAACATCTAAAGAAGCTTTTCTGCATTTGAAAGGTTCCATGGATGTTCAAGGTTCTTCATAGAACCATTGATGCCAATAAAGAACCTTTATTTTTAAGAGTGACCGTGATAATTCATAAGTGGCCAACATCATAATTGAACTCACCCCATCAACCAGTCCATGCTGCTAGCAGCTGATCCACCACGCCAGCTGTTTTGACTTTCACCGGCTGTTTAAAATGATATCCAGGGCTGGATTTGGTCTTTCTGGAGTGGAGCCTATAACAGTTTTGGACACGGAGCTGCTCCTCATTGACTTTGACTGATTTCTAAAGAGCCTCGGTTTGAACTGGTGCTTTGAGGGCTGCCGCTGGTGGGGTTCAGTTGTCAGAACAGTGCTGCTCGTGTTGTGGGATGCCGGTGCTCCGGTGCTCCGGTGCTCGTGTCTTGATGTCTGTAAGGCAGGCATGAAGTACACTCACTCAGTGTCTAATGCTTCAGGACAGTCCCGCTGCTGCTTGATTTCAGGAATCCGGAAGTAAACACGGACAGTGTTTCAAAGCCCAGCGAGACGACTATCAGCACTGAAGAACGGAATGAACCAAAATTAAAAAAAATAAAAAACTGTCTAGCTAGGCAGCGTACTAGGCTTTGAGACACAACCACTGATTCCCCAGCGACCGTCGCTTCCGTGCCTGTCATTGTTCACCTCAGCTGCAGTCAGAAATAAACACAAATATCCTGCAAGAGACACATCCACAGTTAATAAATATTCCTTTTTATTTTAATTTATTTTTTAATGTAGTTTAATGCAGTTTAATTTAAGTTAGCCAATGTATTATTATGATTATTATTAAATAATAATAATAAAGTGTTTTTCTTGCACTCTTTAACCATTCGTCTTGATTTTATTATTATTTATTATTATTATTTCTAGCATAAGTTTCAGAATTCATTCTTGCTATTCAAGTCTGTTCACGCAATATTTAGGCTACATTATACATATTCTGTAACTATTTTTTATGTTTCTTTACTTATCATTGATTTCATACATATATTTTATTTTGAACTTCACTATCAAAGTTGTCGTCATGTCAAGGAATAAAGAACAACCTCTCATCCTACCAAAAGATGGCGCTGTAAATGTAATTATATGGCAACTCTACGGCAGGTTTTCACACTTTAATACCATATTCTAACCCCGCCTGAAGTGCTATATAATTTTGCTATATATATATATATATATATATATATATATGGAATACGGGCACTCAGTGGCAAAAATGCTTTTCACTCA